CGGCCAATGTTAGAGATAATTATAAATTATTAGTAGATTTATTATTAAGGAACAAAATGTTGGAATCTTTACCTAAACCGATGTCAACCTTTTTAAGAGAAAATAAACCAACTTCATTGAAGGAGTTAGAGAATTTAGGTGAGAATTATTTTTGTGTAGTGTTAAACTACCTTGGCCATGCGCTATGTTTGCATTGTAAACCGGTACTTGGTGACCGCATGGTAGGCTACCCTCAGCTTAAAATTCTGTACAGACAAAACAATTATCATCAGTGCAACAAATCTCAACGGCATTACCCTCATATGTATCAGAGCCTGAGTCTTCATCCAACAACCCATATGCCACGTGTGCCTCTTTGATCTGTCGTTTAAAAGCACAATGATTACGTACATGGCCGTAACATAAACAAGAGAAACATTTCAACACCTTATTGTAGTCATTGAGCTTGTTCTTCCTCTTGGCAATAAGCTCCGGAACCCCCATTGCGTATGCTTGATTCTTATCGCAAATAGCGTCTGAACCATGTTGTCGATTACAGTGGCTACAGTTGATCATGGTAGCTTTCTTTCTGTTGTACCTCTTGTCTTTCATTGGGTATCTACCTTGCTGAGATTTCTGATATGCTGCAGCTCCTGATTCAATAACATCGTTAACTGTTGAGCTGAAAATGTCTGGATGGGCATTATAATAACCCTCTCCCAATTGTTTATATGTTTCAGATCCACTAGTGTTTGCTCTATTAAAAATGTAGCCATCGGATCTGGTAGGGATTCTAGGTGTTCACTTTTTATCAGTAGGTTCACCAAAGATTGGTATTCATTTTGAACTCTCGCTGCATCAACCCATTTTTGAAACGTGTTTTGCACTTCGGCCAGATAATCTACAAAAGTTTGACCACTCCTGGGTTTTAATCCAACGTACTGTTTTCTATACCCCATTTCGTTGAGTTTATAATGATTCATTAGGTATTCCTTTATATGATCATAATCCATTTTCTCTAATTCTGGTATTGATTCCAACACTTTAATTGGCTCAAAGCCTAAATGTTTCTGGAAAATCATCGCATAGTCTTCCTTATTAACCTTGTTCATACGCATTTGAAGCTCAAAATTAGCCACCCAAGCAGATATATCCTCATTTTCACAGAAGTTTCATACTATGCCAGCGTATTTCTTAAATCTGTTTTCCTCTGCCCCTAATCTTTCTTTCTCTATGGCTGCTTCCCTTCTGGATTCATTTTCCATCTCTTTGGTCTTTATTTGCGTTTCAGCCTTCTCTTTATCTGACTGAATTTGTGCTGCCAACCTTCCTTGTTCTAGCTGTAACCTTTTCTCCTCCATCTCTTTTTGTTGTAGTAGTTCACGCTCTTTTAATTCCCTATGAAGAAGTAACTCTCGGTCTTTTGTCTCTTTCTGAAGTAGTAACTCTTTCTCTCTAACTATTCCCTCTTGTTCTTTGACACGGAGCTCGTGTTCTCTCGAAAGTCTCCTTTCATTTCTTTCTTCTTCAGCTTTTATCTTCTCCTTCTCTTTCTCTTGTTCTGCTTTTATTTTCTCCTTCTCTTTCTCTTCCGCTTTCATCTCCTTGTGCGTTTGGTTTACATACTTCCTTAACTCCTCCCCTTGAAAATCTAACTCCTTGCCAATCGCAATCCACTCTGCCATTCCCGACATTCTTGAATAGGCTGATCAAGATTCCCTGCTATTCCTTTTGTTCTACAATTATTTCTGTCACACTCAGCAATAACACAAAAACAATTGAATTAAAAAAATTCAACTGAACAAATAATAAACTAAGTCGTTAACTACGGACTTAGGTAATCAGCTAATGTTATTATAAATTAACTAAGTATCTAATATTAGTTAACAAAATCTAATTATCTAATTTTATTTATATCCTAAGTGACTAACCTCCTTTTTTAATCAACTTGCACCACCCTTGTTTAGATGTAGCTGTAACTGTAGATTGGAAACCTCTGTCACTATAAGATATGCACACTAGGACTACTGTAATGATAGCTCAATCAATAAACAACCCAGAAATTTTCAAGAAAATATTTCTCAAAAATAGATAAACAATAATTAAATTTCCTTAATTAATTATAAACAATGTAGTCTTAACATTAATAATGTAATAAATCTCTAATTTTAAAATGTGCTAAATAATTTTTGATTAAATAATTACCTATGAATTAAATAAATACTGGTACTAAATAATAATTAATTAAATAATTACTTATGAAATATATAAATAAATGTACTTAATAATTATTCATTAATTCTCTATAAATTAAATAAATAAATATAGTAAATAATTATAAGACCCTGTCTACTGCAAGATTTTTCAAAAATATATCTATGCCGAAGGCAAATAACACTGGTCCTATATCAACTGTCAAAAAATTATGATATCAATAACATTACACAATTTGTCAACAAATTTCAGAAATAAATAATAATGGTGATGATGATAACTCGAATATAAATTGTATATTTACCACCCCAAAATTACAGAAGTAAAAAAATAATGATTCAATAATTTTATGGCTGATGGCTGATGATTATGCCATAACTTCAGCTGGGTATATTAAAATTGCAAAAAATTACAACCAGAAATAAATAAAAAATGAAAAATGATTTCGTCCACAATAATATAATCACAACCTAATTAATTTTGCTATAAAATATAAATAATTCAGAAATCAATATCAAAAAAGATTATATAGTGTAAAATAATATATAATCACAACGTAATAGTTATTACCAAATAAATAAAATACCTGAAAATCAAAATCATGATAATAAATTTTTTCAATATAATCAATTAACTTCAAATATGCACGCACATAATAACTATCGTTATAAATGAATCAAATTAATAAATAATTCTACTTCTATTGATGTCGGTCCTGAAGTGTAGATCCGAAACGGTGTATCAATAAAGCTAATGTGTACGCACACTTGAAAAACGGTCACTTGAAACACTGTTAATCTTGCGAAAGTCTACACAGTTGAAAATTCGCCACTTGCTGAAAGCACTGTAAATATTATATCGGCTTAAGTTACATTCAGCGGCACGGCACACGATAATAGTTATCTTACTTGCTGATTATTATCACACAATCTTAAGACTTTCAAATGCTTCCGATATGTTCTGAATATATAACCTAAACACTGTTCTCTTGAATTAAATCAATCTTGCAATCATATCAAAGTACTTTACCTTTTTTTGTCCTAGTTAGCTGTCTCTTACGCTGTTGTCCTGCAGTTACGCTCGCACACACTTGACCCAAATTTGCTGTGTCATCGACGACCCAGTTCGCCAATTGTAGCAGAATTGAATATTTCCGCTGGCTTTCGATAATACTGGCTAGTTAACGGCCAATTTCCCACGCTGTTACAGAGATTTTCATTTCGTGGTGTCTCAATGTCGTGACCCAAAAGTTTGAGTTGACTCCTTGATCGTGAGATCTTCTATTCGCCCTATTATTTCTTCGTGGCTTTTGATTTTGGTTATGTTGTATCGCGCTGTTACTGTTGACATGTAGTGGACAATTTCTTCGCCGCTAATGTTATACAGCCATTTGTTCTCTTTCTCGTAGGCTTCTTGATGATTTTGAAAAACGACGCAAAATGCCACGTAACACTGGGCAGTCTACGTGTCCTTTAACCTTTCACCCACGTGATGTCATAACCCAGCATCATGCGTGTTACGGGTAAAATTTTTGTCGCAACTGTTCGGTGATTCCAGCAACTATGCGTTTCACCAGATATCGCCTCTTACATGGCCGTCTGTCACGATTTTTTTTCGTTTAGACTTTCAATGGAATCTCATCTGCATGTACGTGATAGTTTCCGGGATCACTTTTCCGTTGCTCCGTTGTCTAAACTCTCAAAACCTTTGGCTTTAACTGTGCAACTGATGTTCTCACTCGGTGATTTCAAAAGCTGTGCTCTCTCAGGCAGACTTCGTCTCTTACATATCAGTCGTTTAGCAGGAGTATTTTCTGCCTCGGACTTCTAACGGCATTCAGCGTCTGCGTGGCAAGTAACAGCTCATGACATCATCTAGCCGTTGTTGTTCTGTTTTTGCCCGGTTATCTTCGTTTTCGAGCCTCCAATTGTAACAAATGGTGTGTTTATGTTCTCGTTGTCTAGGTAGTGTTCATGCGTGTGTGGTGGATGTTCTTCTCACACGCTCCACGTTACACAACTGGTACAAGCCGACACCTATGTGAGCTTACGAGACATGAGTTTATTGACGTATTCACACTTACAAGAAAAAAGGTCCTGTCGTTGTCCTAGTCAACAGCTCTCGTACACAAATTCACGCAGCCTTCAACGAACAGTCTTCTTCAAGCATTCACTGACCAAAGTCGGCTCCCATGGATTCACGTTGAGGTTCTGGCCATCACACAGACTGGCATGGTCGATCTCAGCTTCACACTTCGTCGTCAGGATCTCCTTTCTCCACAAGCACTCTTACGTTGACATTCTCACTTTCAGTCGCACGTCCTCTCACTCCAACAGGTCGCCACAAACTAAACTTGAGCAGAGTCAAGTTTGACTTATACCACGGGTTAGTTTCATGTGACAACACGTGGTGGCCCTTTACTTTCACGTGGCAACCTTGGGTCGCATCATCGTGATACCCGTGATAACTAGTGGTCTTCACCTATCTCCAGAATCTCGTTGAATCCGAGTATCTGGACTATATCGGTGTTTTAGATCAGCTTTGGGCCTTTCCCCCAACCATCCTAATCTGGGTGAAAATATCCCCCATTGCACACACTGATGTTCTGGTGTTAAATATACTGATGTACTGGTGTTCCAAACTTTGAGGGACTGGTGTTCCAAACTTTGAGGTACTGGTGTTCCACATACTGTTGATTTGGTTTTAAACATACTGGGATTGAACACATTGCTGTACTGGGGTTTTACACGTTGGTTTGGTGTTATAACATACAAGTAGCAAGATTAAAACAATAGTCAAGTACTCACTTTGCAAAGTAGCGTTGCATGTTGTATGCTGGATGGAATGGGTCTCCGCAGTGAGCATCACTGCCGTTGATGGAGTGACATTTATAGCAGCCCACCCCTGTCTGTTGTTTCAGGTACTCTGAAGGTCAAAGGAATATATCAATTTGTGATTGCATAAAGCCTGAATGAAACATTTATGTTACTCAACGGATATTGTCAATACATGTCGGTGAGTGTATGTGATCAGTGTCAACATTTACAAACAAACCGCAATTAAAGAATCTCAGATTATTCTGATATATTATGGCAAATAGGCTTATACAATCTGGAATTACCAGGAGGCATGCAAACCGACCACCTTGGCTGTCTACGCTGTTAGCAACAGTGCTGGGAAACGAAGAAGGATATTTAACGGTGTGCAGTCGGTTGAGGAGCACAGTTTGCAGCAAACTGGTATTGATGTTACTGTCAAGCTGTTCCGAGGCAAGTAGCATGGCCGCGGGTGGACAAGACTGGCAGAAAGATGTGAAGGAACGATGATAATATTGCGAGAGACAAGTGGAAGAATCTGTAGGAAACCAAGAAACATAAATAAACGGACCAATCGTGACTGCAGCCACGTAGGACATGTACGAAAAGAAGCATAATAGAAACTGACAACATGATGTTCTATGATTTTAATCAAATAAATAGAAGAAATTGTTTTCGCTTATCAAGTCCTATTGGGCTGTAGTAATATGACTCGTGCATTAGCTTCAGTTTTAGGCACTAAAAATGATGCTTGCCATATTTGTGAAGTTTTGACTTGTGAGTGATAGCTGTGTTGCCTAATGATTCAATGGACTTCCAAAAGCGTGTATTGAATTTTGTGTGTGCAGGGGGGAGGGGAGGGGGACGGGGGAGGGGGTATTATACCTCATACTATAGGTGTGCAAAAATAGTCCTGCTGTGCAACACATAAAAGATAGTTAAACAAGAAACATTACTAAGAAAAATGCGTCACACGATATGTCGATAACGTCGCAGTTATGTGTGTGACGTTTAGCACAAAGACATAGTCAAGAGGACTAGACAACTGTTTCGGAGGGCTCATAGCGATCAGTGTGGCAGTACAACCCTGCTATCATACAGGCAGACACTGACGCAGTGTTCTGAGAGTGTATGTGTTATGAGAGTTCATCGGTGGCTGCAGGTAACTGATGAGTGTAGGTGTTCTCAGGGTGTATGTCATCGATGTGTGTAGTTTCTGTGAGGTTATGCGATCAGTGAGTGAATGCAGTCAGTGACTCTATGCGATATGTGACTGAATGTGATCAGTGATTGCAGATGACCATTGATTGTATATGATTAGTGAGTTTATATAGTCAATGAGTTACGTGGTCAGTGACTGTAGGTGATCAGTGAGTGTAGAAGATAAGTAAGTGTCAGTAATTAGTGAAGAGCTGCATGAGTTTCAACAAAAGACATATACGAAATCATGAAATCAGACGAATGTTAGGAATAAAGCCAGTCTCACATGTCATCAAAGAACAATAAATGAAGTAGTTTGGACACCTATCAAGAATGCCCTTGTACTATCTGCCACATCGAGCCACACTAAAACGTTACAACGGGTATAGAGCTAGTGGAACACCTCGGAAATATTGGAGTGATGGCATTAAGAACAGCCTTACAGAAACGAACATCAGTCCTAATAGTGCTCTTGACAGAGCTCTTCAACGAACATTACATCTCCCCCCGATACTTCGATGAGGTACAAGGTGGAAGAGAGCAAGAAGGTAATTAGTGAGAGTTAGTAATCAGTGAGTGTAAGGTGATCACTGATTGTGAGTGTTTGTGTTCAGTAAGTGTATATGATAAGTAAGTGTTGAAAATCGTTGAGTGTGTGTGATCTGTGGGTGTGGATGTTCAGTGAGTGTATGTGATCAATGAGTCTAGGTGTTCTGTGAGTGTTTGTGTTCAGTGAGAGTATGTGATCAGTGAGTCTAGGTGTTCTGTGAGTGTATATGATCATTGTGTGTAGGTGATCAGAGAGTGTCTGTGATTATTGAGTGTATGTGATCAGTGAGTCTAGGTGTTCTGTGAGTGTATATGATCATTGTGTGTAGGTAATCAGAGAGTGTCTGTGATTATTGGGTGTGTGTGATCAGTGAGTCTAGGTGTTCTGTGAGTGTATATGATCATTGTGTTTAGGTGATCAGAGAGTGTCTGTGATTATTGGGTGTATGTGATCAGTGAGTGTATATACTCTGTCAGTTAATGTGATTAGTGAGTGTATGTGATCACTGAGTGTAACTGTTTTAGAGTGTATATGGCTAGTGAATGTATATTATCAGTAAGTGCATGTGATCATAGAGTGTATGTGATTAGTGAGTGTAGGTGATCATAGAGCGTAACTGTTTTAGAGTGTATATGCTTAGTGAATGTATATTATCAGTGAGTGCATGTGAATATAGAGTGTATGTGATTAGTGAGTGTAGGTGATCAGTGAGTGTAACTGTTTTAGAGTGTATATGGCTAGTGAATGTATATTATCAGTGAGTGCATGTGAATATAGAGTGTATGTGATTAGTGAGTGTAGGTGATCAGTGGATGTATGTTATTATTGATGTTATATGTTCAGTCAGTGCATGTTATCAAAGATGTATGTGATTAATGAGCAATCTGGTAATCTGGTAATCTTAGTTTCAGCTTCATAGCAAACGGGTTACTCCATAGCTGCTCCGATCCTGTGCAAACGAAAAACACACAGAATGTTCATCACAGACCTTTTTGGAAAGATTGACAGACTGCTGTCTCAGCATATCTGGCTAACACGCATTAAAACCATACGGCAGCTATCCGAAGTGCCAACACAAACAGTCCGACATTAGAAATGCAGTTTATCAGGGATGATAGCAGTAGTCACCAACAGATCAGCAGTTGCACAAGCGATCAATTTTAAATCACACAATGGCACCTCCAATATTGCGACAACAGGCATTTTGCCATTTTCTGAATCTACAATTCACACCACCACGCTGGTCAGAGTCGAAAAACATTCAAAATGAAATCCGAAGCTCACAGTGTCACGCCATGCACTCAGTTCAGAAGCTTGACGACAAAGCTATATCCTTTCAGTCTACAAATGGAGCAAAAATTCAACGGCCACTGTCACGCAGAAGCAAAATCAATTGCCAGGGCTAGAAACAATGGCCGTGCCTAGAGTCCATTTTGACCGGAAGATAAGGGAGTGTAGGTGATCAGTGAGTTTAAGAGGTCTGTAAGTGCATGTGATCAATGAGTGTGAGGGATCACTGAGTGTAAGTGGTGTGTGTGTGTATGTGTGTGTGTGTGTGTGTGTGTGTATGGAATCAAAGAGTTTTTGTGATCAGTAATCGTAGATGATCATTGACTGTATGTGATCAGTAAGTGTAGATGATCAGTGACTGTATGTGACCACTGAGTGTAGATGATCAGTGTCTGTATATGATCAGTGATTTGCAGGTTTTTATTGACTGTATGTGATCAGTGAGTGAAGATGATCAGTGACTGTATGTGATCAGTGAGTGAAGATGATCGGTGACTGTATGTGATCAGTGATTGTAGATGATCAGTGACTTATGTGATCAGTGATTGTAGATGATCGGTGGCTGTATGTGATCAGTGATTGTAGATGATCAGTGACTGTATGTGATCAGTGATTGTAGATTATCAGTGACTGAATATGATGAGTAATTGTAGATTATTATTGAATGTATGTGATCAGTGACTGTAGATGATCAGTGACTGTATGTGATCAGTGATTGTAGATTATTATTAGCTGCATGTAATCAGTGAATGTAGATGATCAGTGACTGCATGTGATCACTGAATGTGTAGATGATCAGTGACTGTATGTGAACAGTGATTTTAGATTATCGGTGACTGTATGTGATCAGTAAGTGTAGATGATCAGTGACTGTATATGAACAGTGAGTTTATGTGGTCAGTGACTGTATGTGATCAGTCATTGTATTTGGTCAGTGAGAGTAGGTGATCAGGGAGTGTAGGTAATCAGTAAGTATGGGTTGTTTTCTATCACCCGCTGGGTTGCGTTTTGGCTAATACCGATCAGCCTATCTTTCTAATAACTGCCATTTAGTGTTCTGTCTAATAACTGTCAGTTTGTGTTCTGTCAAATACCTGTCAGGTTGGTATCTTTCTAATACCTGCACTGGTTGTATTCTGATTAATATCTTTCAGTTCATATTCTGTCTAAAACCTGTCAGGTTGGTATCTGTCTAATGCCGGCAGGTTATGTTCTGTCTATTATCTGCCAGATACTGTTCTATCTAGTACCTGTCAGGTTGTTTTTTGTTTATAGCTGGTATGTTTTGTTGCCTGACAGTGAAGTGTGTAATTCCTTGTTCTATATGCCACCCAGAAGTCAGCCAACAGCTTAAACATTTCTACTAGCTAATGGGTGGGAGGAGATATACTCGGAGTGTATGTGTGTGTGTGTGGGAGGGGGGTTGAAATAGTACATTTACTGACACAAACTGGAGAGTAGCAGCTGCTGCATTTGTTTTCCCCTCGAGCTAAAGAGACATATTTCATGGAAAATGGATTGTCGGCGAATGTGTTGACAAAATGTGCTCCTGGCATGCAATCATAAATCATTAGCTGGGGGTTTACAAAGACGGGCGATCCCCTGCGGGAATGGGTGCGGTTTAGGAAGAAATCGATTAAAACAGACTGGCAGCCTCCTGTGGATGGATGCAGTTTAGACCTGGATCAATTAAACCAAAATACATATCATTTCAGCAGATATATAAGTTTATAATTTACCTCTCAGCGTATTATCTTTCTGATAAGTCTATTATTCATCTCACAACGTAGTATTCTTTAATATGTCTGTTATTTCTGTCACAACGCATTGTTTCTTTAATATGCCTGATATTTATCTTACAGCGCATTGTCTGTCTAATATTTCGTTTATCATAGCGCATTATTTATGTGATATATCAGTTATTTACCTCACAACGCATTGTTTCCCAGATACGTTTGTTTATGTCTCACAGAGCATTGCGTTCTGATAAGTCTGTTATCATAAAATGTATCGTCTTTCTGATAAGCTGTTACAAAACTCACAGTACATTGACTTTCTGATAAGTCACA